GGGAATATGTAAATTTGAGGTGCTTTTCTCAAGTGAAAAAACTGAGTAAATAGCAGAGTAAAATCAAGGTGGCCTAATAACTAAAGAAATGTCTAATTTTTACATGTAGAGTCCTTGTTTTAGGTAAAAATAAACATTTAAAAATTTGAATAAAAGATTATTTCTTATATATTAAGGAAGTATGTAATTTGTTAGGTATATTCAGTATGATTTTTAGAAGTACAACTAACATTTCAACTGTGAGTTAATGTTTGAAAAAAATAAATTGAGTGAACAGAATAAAAGGTGCATATTGGTAATATATAATTCATATAATGCACAGAAAGTTCATGCCAACATATTCTAAGAAAGAAGGAAAAAGAGGCGGGCTGTCTAACAGACACAGAAAATGAAAGTGTAAGAATCAGATGTCTCAGATAACGACACATCTAGTTTATCCCCGGCTCCAGTGAGATGGTCAGTAAATGACATCACTGTGGCAACCACAAAGAACTCCAGGCCCTCCCTCTGAAGAACATTGTTCAAAGCCCCAAGGAAACCTAAGCAGCCTCTGTAATTTTTTTCCAGTTTATGAAAATTGGATTCCTATAAAAGAAAAATGGACCATTTTTACTGCAACAAAAACTGATTTGTAAAAGCTGGAAGCAGTTTAAAAATACTCAACATGAGGTTCTTGTTAGTCTTGAAAAGTAAGAGTTATAATAAAAAACGGTCCAAAAATATGGTACGGATACATGGTAAAAAGGGGGAGAAAGCTAGTCTTACTCCTATTATTTTTAATTAGCTTCAATAGCAAGTTCCACTTTTAACACCAGTTCAGATTTGGGGAGGGAGAGATTTACATCTGACCCTCTGGGATTGGCAACTGTGTAGCTAATGCCTTGAAGCCCTAATGCATTTTGCATTACCTCTAAATGTCGGGGAATTCTGGCGCCCAGAGGTTCAGACTGATAGTGAGGCATGTCTAAAACCCAGGATTCGCTGTCCAACTGCCACATCTATTTTATCAGATATCCAATCTCCCTTGTAGAATAGGATAGATGAGTTTACAGTTTTCAATATTTCCATTTACACGGCCTTGTTATATTACAAAAATGCAGGCATTCAGATTAAGCAGGGCCCCTGACTTGGATGTTAAGAAAAAGACTAATTTGAACTGTTCTCTAAATCTGGCTTGGTTTCTGCATTTTAATAAATATACCCTATTACTAAGTTTTGCCATTTTAGGAGGAAAGTGAAGGGTTTTTCTTTGAACAATTAAAAAAAACTCTTATAAAAATTAGAAATGTATTCTTTCCCTCAAAGGAACTTGGGATCATCAATTGACTGGAACCCAGTGAAACGGGTATGTTAAAACCCCAAAGACCAAAAAGCCATGAGTATTGGCTAAAGAGCATGCCACCTGGCACTGCCATACTGTTTCATGTTAAAAACAATGACAATGATTAAAAAAATTTACATTTTATACATTAATTTTTAAAATATATTTTTAGTGATTTCAGAGAGGAAGGGAGAGGGAGAGAGAGAAACATCAATGACGAGAATCATTGATTGGCTGCCTCCTGCATGCTTTCCACTGGGGATCAAGCCTACAACCCAGGCATGTGCCCTTGACTGGAATCTAACCTGGGATGCCTCAGTTCCCAGGCCTATGCTCTATCCACTGATCCAAACCGGCTAGGCTATACATTAATTTATTATTATTTTTTCAGATAACTTGACAGTGCTTACTTATCAAAGATATATGAAAAGGAACAGGGAAAGAATTTTTAAGTCATCTGAACAATTTCCCTGTTCAAAAACCAACTCAGAACATATAACATTTTCTTTTTTTAAAAGTATTTAAAAATCAGCCTTTTCAGTATTTAAAATTCAATCAAGAGTTTTTTGTTTTTTTTTTCATAACTAACCCAAATTCTTCAAGTTGTCCATTAGGTCTGCTTAATCTTATTTCCACAGCCAAGATGAAGAATAAGAGTTTAACATCTTCTGTTTATAGTTCTAAAAAAATACTATTTTGCTTAAAATAAAAAATTTCAAAATAGTATTTTCAGTCAATGTTATTTGATCTAATAGGCTTTCAATTTACCTACTGGATATCAGAAGCTGAAAGGTAGCCATTAGTTTAAAATTTCACATCTGGGACATTTTGTGGCAAATTTTCATGCCAAAATATGTGAATAATTATGTAGCAATTTAAAATGCTTAAATCTTTGCAGAATTAAAAAATAAGCCAGATAAGATCTATGGTTTGTTACTATCAAAGAAGAGCATAGAAATCCTATTAAAAGAGAATCCTAACCAATCAAAAATGATTGAACAAAAGCAAGAGTAAATGATTCCAGAGTAGGAAATGCAGAAAAAAACAACCGAGTTTGGGCTACACTGTAGACTTTCTCTGTATCTCTACTGATCTAATTGAAAGTTCCTTCTTATTTGATCTATTACCTAACCACCCCACCCCCCCAAAAAAACCTAAGGAAATTCATTGTAAATTATTTCTCCTGGAAATAAAAAAAGAAAACGACACAGTTACATGATTTAAGGTCTGAAAAATTACAAAAGACAGGAGATGAAAGACAACTTTCTCAGGGGAAGTTCTTTTTAAAGGGTAAATAATTCCCAAATCAAAATGATTATAATAAATATCACTCTTTTGATTTGAAAATAGTCTATAGTACGTTTTATTAACTAGTAATTTAAGCCAACATTATTCTGATGTGCCTTTTAGATATATAAAACACTACCCAAATTAGAGCCTTGATTTCTTCATCTGTAAAATGGCTATAACAATACTTGTCTTAAAATATTGCTGGGCAGATTAAAATAAATATAATGAATATTTGTAAAATAGATTATACACAATAGATGATCATATTTTTACCTTTGTAAAGAAACTGAAGGTACAAAGGTAAGAGAATTTTCCCAGTCATTTTTAAAGAGTTATTAACAGAATTAAGAAATAGAACCCTGAAATCTTTGGACACAGTGCATAATTGAGTCACTGAGTACAGCTGTCGCTCAAAACATATTTATTGTTTTATAAAATGACCATTTTGAAAACCAGATGAGAAATTTTGCTGAACTGAGCTCATAAGTTCATTGTTTTGTACATCCAATTTTAATGAAAATGTTCGGGTTCTTAAAAAAATGAAAGCAAGTCTTTCTGGAGTAAGTAATGCATAATTAGTATCTGTCTGTTTTCTTTACACTGGAGATTGGCAGTATCTGAAGGAGATACAAAAATAATGTTTTCTTCACAATGAAACATAAATGGCAGAATTAATCTTGTAAATGCCATCAGCAAAAATCTTTCATATAAATATTAGGATTATAAACCCAAATCATTTCTTTCTTTTCCAATTATATTTCAGAAAACATTTGTATAAGGAATTATCCCATGATGGAGTATAGTAGTTATGATTAAACAGAGCCTCTATTTAAATGATTATGGCTAATATAGACAGAAACATCAGAAGTAATCAAAAGCCATATGCTTTCTGGTATGTAACCATGTTTAACTTTTATTTCCTAAGGCAAGGAGTTTCTTACCGTGACATCCAGTATAACAATAAAACTATTTCGAAAGTGCTATTATTTATTTAAAGTCCACTACAGAATACTGAACTACATATAAGGGATCATATTTCATGTAATACTACATTTTCCACCATGCTTTTAAACTTTGAGTCATGATCATCAATGAGTTGTGAAACAATATAGTGGGTTGCAATGTGCATTTCAAACATGAAGTAATAGACTAAAACAGAATTTATCATTGTGCATTACAGATAGTAAAAGTAATTACTGTTTTAAGAAGTTTTTGTTCTACATATATACAGGTATATACATATATATAAACAAATGTGTATGTGTGCATTGGGTTGCAATATGAAAGGTATTTCTTAATGGGGTTGTGGTAAAAAACCCCAAATGCTTAGAAGTCATTATAGTATGCTGTTTCCTTCCAAATTAAGCATCATGTTTGAAAGAACATAAACTTTGGAGACATACATATCTGAGTTCAAATTTTTTCAGTAATAACCTACTAGTATGAGTTGGTTACTTAAATTCTTAGAGCCTTGATTTCTTCATCTGTAAAATGGCTATAACAATACTTGTCTTAAAATATTGCTGGGCAGATTAAAATAAATATAATGAATATTTGTAAAATAGATTATACACAATAGATGATCAATAATGGTTGTAAATAATTACTGTTGAATCAAATGGCTTATTTCAAGTGATCAATAAGAGTTATAAAATATTAGTCATAATTGTATCCTTTCAATTAAATAATGCCTAAATATATCCTCCAAACAGAAAACAGTTCGTGTTAATGAAAAGTACAAATGTATAAGAAAAAAAAATAATTTAAAGGAAAAATAGTCTTAACAGCAAATAAGACTACACCTATTCATGAGACTAATTTGATGTGAAATTTCAATAGTCAGTCTAAAATCAAATATTACGTCACAAGGAATGATATGGCGGAGAAAAGATTGCTTACACATTCTGGTAAAATTTTATAAATCAATTGTAGAACAATGCTGACATGTCAGATTCCCCCCCCCTTAAATGTTTTATTTGCATGCCATCCAAGGAGGAAAAGTTTTTAATCAAAGCATCAACTTTTCAAAACAGTGATGTATGAATAATTGGTAAAATACATGCATTGAATCCTTATTTTATTTTATATTTTAATAGCTTTGGAAAACAATCTGGGTTCATTAATTTGACAAAAGTACTGTCTCTTTCAAAAGAAAGCCTGGATTTTGAAAATCAGTGATGAAGCATATATGTTTTCCAGATCTGTGATGACTTTTCTTTTTTTACATAGAAAATATAACTTCAGAAATAATTTAAAATCAAGCAAGTATAATCATGAAAATACTGAGTATTTTTTCCTCTTTAATGAACAAAGATAGAAAAATGGGAAATGAAGAGAATTCTAGCTTTTAAAAACAGGGGAAACAAATTTTCTTGGAAAGATTGTTTACCTGCCAGGAAATGAATGCTGCCCAACCACATCTCCATTTTGAAGGTGATAATCATTGAAGAAATCTGGACTTATGGCTCCTTCAGAGGCAATTAGCCCATCTACAAAAAAGGAAGATGGTAACTAGTAAAACATCTTTGTAGGGAATAAAAAGGAAACTATTCTATCAAGCAACACAATAGCAAATAACCTTTATATTTAATCTGGAAATAAAATGTTAGCATGACATGCTCTTCTCTTGGGAATAGGAACAGAAGACCATACATACATACATGTTTTCTTTTAAAACAATCCAGCACAAAGCTTGAACATTTATTGAGCATCTACTATATGGCAGTACTATACTAGTGCAGAGGTGAGTAAGACAATCTCTGCCTTCAGGTGGCTCACAAAGACAGAAGAGGACATGGGTGAGGCGAGGTAAGGGGGGACAGACAGCAAGGAAATAGAATGACTGAAGATAAGGAGACATTAAATAGCACACTGTCAGTAAAGTGCAAAACTTTAGTTAGTATGTCCTGCATTTTATACCCACACAGCTTCATTTGTGTACTGGTAACATGATTAGGAAATTAGATACTTCAAGTAAGTGAATTTCTAAATAAGCAATGCTTGACAAACCTTAAAACAACACACAAACTTGGGTTAGAAATCTTTGTGAATATATTTACACTCCCTGAGTTTTTATGAAGTGTACAGAATATATTGAAATGGTTCTTGATGACTCAATCTTCATTATAAGCATCAATTATCATGTAGCAAGCCCTAGGTGGTTAGATATATTTGACTACTTATACTAAGTGGCTCTACACTACTATGCTTTTTGAGTTCTTTTCTGTTGGTTATAAAGTGCTTCTTTTCCTAAATCCAGGTCTGCATTATTACTTCTTACTAATTTTTGAGTCTATTTTCTTATTTGCTCTAAACTAAGAATCCAGATAACCTATGGCTTTTGTAATAACTATTTGAAAAGTTCTGAGAAGTTTCCTATTTTGAAAGTATTCTGGATTAAGTGACCTCTAGGTAGATATTGGCTAGGTCACACTCACAGGACTGTTTACACATTTGGGACATGGGAAGTCAGTTACTCAGACACCAGATGACCATTTTACACTTTTATGCGTAACAATACTTTCCTGGGTCCTGTGGTCAATACAAAAATTACAATAGATAATTTCTGTTTTCAAGATTCTTATGTCAAGTGAAATAAAGGACAAACACTTAAGATGCAATTAAATAACACATTTTATTAATAAATAATATACAATGGGATTGGGTATATGTACCAAATGAGCACTGGAGACAAAAAGCTGCAGCAGGATTGTGTCTGCAGGGCTTAGAGAATCCTACTTGGGGAGGAAGGAAGGGAAGCAGAGGTGTGGGGAATGCCAAGATTCCATAAAGAGTTGAATAGCTAAAAAAATTAACTTTATATGGATCTAACACTTTGTGAAAGTATGGCTAAAAATAAGGTTAAGGCCACAAAAATCAACAAGCTCCTCTGCTAAATGAAAACCAAATAATTGAGGATCAGAGTTCAAGAAATCTGCCAATTTTAGAGGAACAAAGCTAAGTAAAATGCCAAAATAAAATGTATACCACAGTTTGAAAATGAATACAAAGATATTCAGCATGCCAGTAGAAGAAAAGATTCTACACTCAGAAATACTTCAGATATAAATACACTAAATAAAAAGATAATGGAATAATATTTTAAAAATTATTACATGAAACATGACCTAGTGACGTGAGCCAGATTAGGAAGAAACTAAATGTCAAATTCTCAATAGCGTCATTGTGATCAGAGCTCCCACTGTCTTCAAAGGGAAAAATGAGGAGCAAAAGGATAAATGGAACACAGAGTGGAACTATAAACTGGGAGCTCATCAGATATCACACTAAATATTTTCAGTTTAAAGATTCAACCAGAAATTTTATAAACCCAGAACTCAACTAGTTTAACAAGAAAATAAGCCTGATATCATGTGAGTAAAAAAGAGCAAATTTATATTTCTGAACTTATTTTTAATACTTCTAGGATACTGCAGCTCATTCTGTGAACCACAGCTGCTACAGTGCCCTTCATGGCTTGACAAAAGTTAGGCAACTCTGATATGTGAGCAATCTCTCTTCCCTAGAATTTATTTATAACTTAATAAAAGTTAAATTATACCTTAAATCTTCCATTCAAGCACCCCAACTTCTTCGAACTATCTGTTTCTCAGCATTCTGAACCCAAAAATAATTGTTTTCTAGAAATACTACAGAGGAATCATTTATTCTTGATTACAAACTCCAGATAAATCTAGTAGTATTTTACTCTAACCTTGTTTCTTATTCAAGGAACCGAAGAATTCCATGTCCCTTTTAAATAACCAGAGAACAAACAGAAGGCAGGTGACATACACCAGAGCATGTTGTAAGCTGCAGAGCATTATTTACATTTAGGTTATTAAATTATATGAGGCCTTTATGCCATGGTTACATCCAACACACCTTTCTGAGGTGTTCCGAGTAATGATGGTAAATATGCTTATAAGTAAAAGGGGTATGTACTGGAATAAGGGTGAAATCAAAGCAAATTGATTGTCAGCACAGGTAATTTATCAGCCTTCTGATTTCTGGAAGTCAGTTAAAAAACTGGCGTATGCACATTGTGAACAAAAGGAACAAATACAAAAACATTATCTTCTTATATATTGTTACTTAAATAAACTTCATTTTTTAAAGTCAAATGAAAACATAATATTGGGCTCTTTGGTGAACCAGCTAAAAGTGAAATTGTGATTGTGTGGGAGAAAATAGATATCAATAATGGAGAAAATGAGAAAAAGAAATGACTCAAATAGATAAATCATAACTCATTTGGCTGTCTCTGATAAGACAAACCATAGAAACACATATGGAAATGAAAACTGTAGTTTTACAATGATTCTGAGACAGAAGCAAACCATTTTAAGCTTCATATTCCAGAAATGTATTTACATGTCAAATGCTAGGAATAAGATTCACCAAAATTGATGAAGAAAAACAAAAAAGTAAAAAGTCATTTAGAAGTGGGCAGTGGTAGTAGTACAGCTTTACTCTAAGTGACAATATGCTTCCTCTGTTGGTAAATGTTCTAAAGCAAACAGCATAATTTTCATGACAGAAAAGGAGTTAGTCAGTGATTACAATCATAATAATTTTAGACTTCAAGAAAAAAATATTGTAACTAAAGGAAATGCTAGATTCCTATTTTATATGTCAATATTAAAATCCTTTAAAAAAATAAAAGCAAGAGAGAAACATATACATTTTGACATATTTAACAGTTTGAATATACAGAAGGCAATACTAATGACTACCAAGTAGCAAATGATATTTCATTTAAAGTAAAAGAGAAAACCCAGAGAGTTATGGGCCACTAAGCTTAACCTCTGTGGCTAAAAAGCTACTGACTCTGCTTTTATTGGAAGAAGCCTAACGTTTCATGGAGACCAGGGACTTAAATAAGATGGCTTTCAAATCCGTAGAATTACAAATTTCTCTGAAGTTTCTGAAGATACAATGGCACACAATAAGAGAAAAGAGGCTGGCATTATCTAGGTTTCCATGACACATATCAAGAGATATCACAGAGATTCATTTAGTAGATGAACTATTCATGGAAAATGAACTAGGTAAAATATTAATACACTAATAAAATAGATGGCTTGATATAAGAACTATATCTTTAAAATCACAGCAATGTAATCTCCACCCTATCATCAGGCCACAGGTATTAAAAAACCACCATGAGTATATCTAATGATAATATTCCACCCCTCAAATGTTTAAATTTACTTTTCCATCAGTGGTGGCTGTTTCTAAATTTTGCTATAAATTTATTTAATTTAATTTAGATTTTCCACAAAAGCCTAAGTTGTACATTTTAATTATAAACTATCTTACATAAAAATGTTTATGATTTTCATTTAAGAAGTTAATTTAAATAAATTAATTTTTGGAAATGTGTTTTAACTTTTTTTTAAGGGTATAGATAAGACTTTTATTTAATTACAGCGAAGTCCTCTCAGCAAACTGAATATTTTTTCTTCTTTTTTTTCCTTTCAAGATCATTTATTTAATAATTTATCTTATTCCCATTGATATAAAATGCTACTTCTATTATGTACTAAATGTCCACATATACTTTCTTTTTTCTTCTTTTAAAATTTTTTTTTCTTTACTGATTAAGGTATTACATATGTGTCCTAATCCCCCCATTGCCCCCCCACCCCACTCTCATTCATGCCCTCACCCCCCTGGTGTCTGTGTTCATTGGTTATGCTTATTTCATGCATACAAGTCTTTTGGTTGATCGCTGTGCTTTAACTTTTTAGAAATCTGTTCTAAAATTCTAATTGTATTAAAACAACAAAGTTGAATACTGTGGTGGTTAAAAGTTTTATTTGGTTTGAAAACTATGATTCACACTGAAAAGTAGCTATCAATCTTCAAAGCAAGAAATCTGACTCCAAGAAATTCTGATTTCTATTAACAAAAAAATTCATATCATATATATTTTACATCATTTTACTTCATGAATATCTGAATATGTAAGGAACAGCTGCTTGCCATTACTGAACTAAGAAATTTCGGTTGGTTGAAATTAATGATCTACACCATCTGGTTTGAAATACAAAGCAGTATTTCATAACTACTGTAAAGTTCAGTTAGGAAGAAATCTATTTGATTTTCAAAGTAAAGTATCAATTTTCTAGGATTCAAATAACTATATGAAATATAAAAATAATGCAGTGTTTATGGGCAATTTGCACAATACCCAATTATGAATACACATGAATTAATACATAGTAGGAAAAAGGTGAGCCATTAATTTAGATATAATTACTTTCATGCTTTTTATTTCTAACCTGCTACAGATCTTAACCCTCTGAGTGCCAACCAATATCCTAGGAACTATGCTAAAATTGCCAAGGCATTTTTGCTGATTTTACAGCAGTTTAGGAAAAAAATTATGAATCGCAAGTAAATGAAGTTACATATTCAAAAACTTAAGGAAACCTTTACTACATTGACTATTTAGCAATATCATCATCACTAATAAAAGCAGACTTAGAACTGGACACCATTTCGAAGCTTTGATAGCGCTCCCAGCACTTTTGGCGAAAGACAGGAGGAGCTCGATCGCGCTCCCCAGCACTCTAGGGGTTAATTAGAAATCCTTTCCTTCCACTCGTCAACTAAATTACTTCAATGAAGTAATATTAATACTGGCAACTGTGAAACACATTAAAAGCCAAAATATGGAAAAACGTACCAATCTTTGTGCCAAACTCATCCCTGGAAAAAGGCAGTATGGCAGAATCAACAAGGTTATAACATATGTAAGATTTACCTTGAAAACACTAGCCAAGTTTAGAAGGAAAAATTTATCGCTATAAAGTATCTACATCATCCCAACCAAATAAGAGTCATCAAATAGTTTACTACTTTGAAAATAAAGCAAAACTATGGCAAAAGTAGAGTGTTAAAATGAAATACAGGGAAAACAAAACATAAATTAATAAGTTATACATTTAAATAAAGAAAAATACATATTACACTTTCAAACAGAAGTCAGAAGTCTTGAAGATGTCATTTTAAGTTATATATTCTAGAATGTAATCAATTAAGAGCAATTAATTTTCCTGGCCATGGCCTTTTTTATTGAGATCACATAATAAAAAAGTTATTATTTTGGAAAAATAACAGTGAGTTATTAGGTTTGCCTGGTGAGTATTGATGTTATGTCTGAAATGATTAGCAGAAGACATTTATACTCTAAAAGAAGTGCTTATGAAGCTTGGGAATGAGCAAGGCTGGCAGATCAAACTAGAATGCAGACAATTGGTTACCCTCTTACCTGAGCTGTAGAAAAGGTCAGGTCTTTCAAGAATATCTCCTTCATGGATGTAAGGCTCAATTCGATCATCACCATACAAATATTGCTCACTCTCATCCATCTGACGACTCTCTACCATTTCCAGCCACTGAGAGTTATGCCAGCGGAACTTTTCACTCTGAATTTTCTTAGCCCATTCTTCATCATATTCCTATAGAAAACAAATAGTCAATTATTACTATGTAAGCCTAGGAAGGAACTCCTTTGACACTCAGATAACAGTACTTTTATCTTGTGAGAATTGGGGGTGGGGGGTGGGGGTCAGAGGAAACATTTAAAATACCTGTTCAGAATTATTTTATATAATAATCAATAAAAATAAAATAAGTAAATACATATATTAAGACATTTCTTTTTGGATTACCAGTTGCTAATGGCAATGTCAAAAATTGGAAAAATCTTAAATTTCACAAATTATCTCTAGACCTTAGGTAGGGAAGCAGACTTCAGCTTCCAAAGAGTTTTGTGGCTATTATTTGTGGCACTAATGACAGGTAGTGAAGCATTAAAATTACATCTTTTGCTCTGTCTTTTTGTTTAGATAACAGTTTTCAGTAGAAAGAAAAAGCACTAGTAAAGTATTTCTCCTACTACTGAAATGGTTACTATGAAAAACAAAATAATAATGTTATCTTATTTAGTCATAATTATGTCTTTATATGTCTATCTCCTGCTTCAGCCATGAATTCCTAAGGAGTGAGACTGCCTTATTCACCGCTGTACCTGTAACACCTGTTCACAGAGAACAGCTTTGGTGCATATTTTGAAGGACAAAAGGCAAGTTATAAACTTCAGCTGAAGTCATCTAGCTTTCAGCTCTTCCCACAGATTATGGCTACTTCTGACTAATGTATTCACTTAACAATTAATGGACAGTACCACTGATGGCATAGATGAAAAAAAAAAGGATTCAGGTATTTCTTATCCTAATACTAGAGTTCTTAGTTTTAAATCCCTTTGTTACCTCTTTGACACTTTTGTTTATAGTCATCTAAAAAGGAGTTGGAAAAGTGCCAGCTAATAGTACCGTCCTCCAATAGTCAATACAATTAAGATAACAGAGGTAGACCAAAGATACATTTTACTCAAATTATTGAGCAATTTTCATCCAAAGTTGAGGCTCAAGTCAAAAATTGTCATCATAAAATGAATTTCTGGGATGTAAGAATAATCTGAAATTTTATAATAAAGGTAATTATTATTTTCTTATTAATAATTTACCTGTTAATTTTTTAAAAGTTTCACAGTATCACTAAATCTTTTAGTGGTATCAGCTTTCAGACTGTCACCTTTGAAACTATATAAATGTTCTTTTACAACTGAGGTTGGTGGAGGTAGGAGATATTCTGGGCTATGGTACTGCTAATGGCAACCTGGCCACTGAATTATTAAACTTTTCTTCTTTCTAATGGTTTTCTATTAATATCCTTAATAGCTGTCAATTTATTTCCAAATATAATTATTTAAAATTAAATTATATAGAAGTAGAGCTATGATAAACATTAATTATTACATTTTACTTTAAAAAAATAATAAACATTTATTTATTTTTCTTTATTAAGGTATTACATGTGTCCTTATCGCCCTGTTGCCTCCCCGCCCCCCCCACTCATGCCCTCACCAATTCAACTGTTACAATTTCAATACTTAAATCACTGAAGGAGATTTTTTTATTCGAAGTTATATTTTCAATGCTAACCTATATTTAAAATTGACAATTTAGATATAAAAAATACATCCTAAATCCTCACAGTGATTAGATACAATCATTTAAACAATCATCCAATTGTTGATCACACATAAGTTGCTCTGATAAAATGAGAAAATGAAGATAAGCATTTAGAAAACCTGTAAACCTATATTGAAAACACTTAACGTTCATCATTACTGTTAATTAATTGAAGTAACGGCTCTCTAACTTAGATACTATTCTCTCTTTTTTTAAAATATATTTTATTGATTTTTCACAGAGAGGAAAGGAGAAGGATAGAGAGTTAGAAATATCGATGAGAGAGAAACATCGATCAGCTGCCTCCTGCACACCTCCTACTGGGGATGTGCCTGCAACCAAGGTACATGCCCTTGGCCGGAATCGAACCTGGGATCTTTCAGTCTGCAGGCCGACGCTCTATCCACTGAGCCAAACCGGTTAGGGCACTTAGATACTATTCTTATTGCCATTTTACAAATGAGAAAATGAGGCCCAGAACACTGAAGTAACTTTGGGCAGCATAAATGTTGAAAAGGCAGTTAAATAGAGAATAAATGAACACTTGGCAGGGTCACTGTAGAATGGATTCTTCAGTGAATGCATATAATAAATGACTTCCAAGGTCAACTTTCAGCTCTAAGATTTTTATGAAGGGGTCGAATTGTTGACCAAGCAAGTAGCTTCTGGTCTGGTAAGTATATTACACACTGTATTCTCAATCATGTTTTCTTGACCTGGCCACACATAGGAGGGTGTTAGGGAAAAGGGGAGTTGAAAAGAATAATAGCACAGAAATGTTGTTACAAGTAGTTTCATTGGCTACAGATTTTAGTAGATCACTTTGGTTTTCCAAAATTAAATAAAATACTAAGTGGTGCTAATTATGCAATATGAACACCGTGATTAGCTTTAAAATAATTTAGCCCAAATGCTAAATATAACTTTGAATCTCTTTAAAGTATATGACTTCAAAAGCACAGTATATAATTTTTGGTTCCACATGTGGCAAAGTTAGCTGCAAAGAAATATTATAGTCATATTAAAAGTGGCCAAATAATTTAAGAATGATCACGTATACACTTATAGAAGAAAAGGATGAACTTACTATCCATTAAGGTAAAGAATTTAATGCATAAACAAAAAGCAAGATGATATTTTGGGCAAGAAATTCTAATTGGCCTTTTTTCTAAAAGATAAGTTAGTCACAAGTCACCAAAACTCCCAGGATATATGCCTTATAATACCCCAAATCCTATGAAATCTACATTAAATACTGGAACTAATTTAATAAGTGGTATTGTTTCTTTATGGATACTAGCTTGTTTCATTTGGCAAGAGGTATAAAACCAACTTTTCATTTTGGTAGAAGAACTTAAAATCTGATTATCTGAATGAAGAAGTATTCAAGGAAGATGATTTAAAAAAACCACATAATTTGACTGTTTTATTATAATTTAAGTTCAAGCATTTGGAGTCCTAGTGTAAGAACAGTAGTTAAAACCCAGTCAAGTGCCCTGGCCCTTGTGGCTCAGTGTTAGAGCACCAGCCTGCGCACCGAAGGGTTGAAGGTTCGATTCCCCTCAAGGGTATGTAGGTTCATTCCCCGACCCCAGGGGTGCCTTCAGGAGGCAACCAATCGATGTCTCTCTCTCACATTGATCTTTCTCTCCTTTCTCTCTCTTTCGCTTAAAAAAAAATCAATAGAAAAAATATCCTCGGGTTAGTATTAACAACAACAACATAAAAACCCAGTCAAGAGCCCAAAGCCTATAAAATACAGGGTTTGCTATTCTATTAAGAGTAAAACTTGCCTCTTTACTAATAACTGTGAAATGTCAGAGGTAGGTATAATTCAAAAAGTAAATCCTTAAACCACATATCCATAAAGTGTACTTAGTCTAGTAAGTAATGCTCTGCACACACATACACACAAATTCATGCTTATTCTAGGAGTTATCATCTTATACCCTTCTCGTAAAATTGTACTATTGTAATTTAATAATAAAATATATTTAATAAATGTGTAAATGTGTAACAAAGATGTTATTTCTTCACAAACAGCCCTTCTAATTAAGCCTTCTTATTGCCTTTCAAGCTTACAGCAATGTTCTTAATGAACCTACACATGCATACCTGAGTTTTTAAATAAAGACTACCCGCACTCCATGCAAACACACAAACCAAAAATATCCGTGAGCATCAATGGTTAACATTTGACACGCAAGCATGACTGGTTAGTGTCTTGGGCACAGACATAGTACCAAATGTAATAAGACTACCCTTAGGCTAGTCTGAATTCCTTTAAAGTTTCATCTTCTTTATAAGTTTATGACTGAACTAGAGACTTGGTGCACTACTTTGTGCACGGGTGGGGTCCCTTGGCCTGGCTGGCGATTGGGGCCCATTGAGCTGTCTCGCCCAGTCCCATATGGGGCCGGCCGGATGGGGGGATGGACCGTGGGAGGTTGGCTGGCTGGCTGAGGGGAGGGAATGCGGGAAGTTGGCTGGCTGCAGGAGGTTGACTATAGGAGTGTACAGACTACCAGGGGGTAGCTCCTGCATTGAGCCTCTGCCCCCTGGTGGTCAGTGCGCATCATAGCTATAGTCCAGTCATCCAGTCATAAAGGCCGCTTAGGATATATATATAATGTAGGTAAACCCTTAGAACCAGGGCATCTCTTAACATTGTAGAGCCAAAAAGTTTGAGTAGCACTGATATAGATTGTAGTGTCACTTTCCTTATTAAAAATAACTTTATTTTGGTTTTAAGTGTTTTTGTACTGTAAAGCCATGGATCTAACTCTCTGTGACTAACAAGGTTAACAGGTGCGTTGCTGTTTACAGGATACCACAATGAAAACATATGGTTGTCTCTTCAGCTTTTCAAACACAAAACAAAACAATCCCCTTCCCCCAGCTTTTCCTTCAGTAAACATGAGACAGAATATGTTATTCTATACCAAGCTGTGTGATCATTTAGGATATAGGAAATTATGTTTTGTGAAAGATCCAACAATGACTACAGATTCCTGCTATAATGAATCCACTACAATTACAAGTGGAGTTTTCATGAGAGTGGCCTTGAGATTTGATAGGTATGTGTGGCTTGTTGTTACAGACCATAGCGAAGATAACAACAAAACCCTTGACCAAGCAGTATCAAGGCATTAAAGTCTCAAGCAGTTATACCAGGACTTTAAAAAAATATTTGGCATTTTATGATTATAAAACTGTTTCAGTATTGAAAGTAGAAAATTACAGAAATACCCATAGTCCCTTTACCTAGATAGAACCACAATAAAAAAGAACCAGTTTCCATTGATTTAAATTCCAGTATTAACAGCTAACTTTGGAAAATATTTTAAAATATATATAATTAAGTTCAGAGGCTATGTATAAAAATTATCAAGATATTGTACTTGTGCTACTTTGTGATATAC